AAATGGGGCTTTTCAATATGGGAGAGGGAGGCATCTCTTCCTATATCTGATGGGGTGGGTGGGTGGGAAGGAAGGGATTTGGGGGAAGTCTTCCTGCCGCCCCCAAGTGTTTATTTTTGATACCAAACATGTATTTTCAGCTCCCTCCCTCCCAGCCCCCCAATTTCCTGCGGGCGGGTATAAAGGACCCTTTAAGTGTCCCTGGAGTTGGGAGGGAGGAATGGGGGACATAAAGCCTGCCTTGTCTCAATTCCAGGCTGGAGAGGGTGGGTTCAAAAGACTCCTGAGCTCACCTCCTGTCAGCATTGGCCCAGGCCTGGGGACCTGGGGGTTGGTGATTTGGGAGATGATGCTGAACTTGTCTCCACTGTTTTACTTCCCCAAAATGGACCTTTTTTTCTAAAAGTCCCAGAGAATGGGGAATTGTTCCTGTAAATATATATTTTTAAAGGTGTTGCTGGAGGCTGCTGGCATTTTTCCCCCCGATGTCTTCATGAGAAGCTGAGCGTGATAGGTATAGCTTTGTGTGAAGGGCAATGAAAGTGTGCAGCAGAGAATGATTGTGAGAGAAACAGTGTGGTGGCCTGTGTCAGAAACCATAGGTGAGGCTGCCAGTTGGTGACGAGGTGTGTGTGAAAATGTGGAATACTATGATTATGTGTTACATGTATGAGAAAAGAGCAGAAGTTGTGAACACAAGCTTTTGACGGTGTGTCTATATGAAAAATTGAGGTTGTTTCACAAACTCAACTAAGACTTGATAAAATATTAACTACACGAGAGTTGGGATGTAGCTCGGTGGTAGAGTGTGTTTGCCTAACATGCATAGGCCCTGGGTTCCATCTTCAGCACAACCAAAAAAAAGTCTGTGTAAAAACTTGTGACAATCTGCATAAGATATTGTTTGTGAGCTGATGCTAAGCGAGACAGAGTGCGTAAGCAAAATTGAATGTGAGAGACTGTGTGGCTGGGAAATGGGTAGAGGCTGTCAGGGACCAGGTACAGGTGAGAGGCCTTACTGTGCGGAAGCAGGCGACTGACTGGTCACGACTTGCAGAGTGAGAAATGGCTTCTGTGTGAAGCTATGCAACGCTGAAGTGACAGCTGAAGTCATAGGAGTGTCTGTAAGAGTTGACTGTGTAAGAGAAAAGAACTGTGGATTATGGCCTGAAACCTATACAAACTGAGCTAAATAAACCTTTCCTCCTTTAAAAGAAAGAAATGGCTATGAGAAAGCTAGGAGATACTGAGATCCAAGATACAAGAATATGTGTCTGAAAACTTTTCGTGATGACTGGAAAAGACGATAAATCAGATAGCTGGGGCTGGGAGGCTCTCATGTCGTGTACATGTGCACGCGTGCACTGAGGCCAGTGGCATGCTGGTCTTTAGTAATCCCTGAAGTCTTCACGGGTTCTGGTGAGACTGAGGGCTGAAATGGTGCAGTAGGTTATAGGATTATCCTTGAGGGACAGAGAAGAAGCAATGTTGGAGAGAGACGGAGAGCAGAAAGGCCAGGAACTTGGTAGCCATGGGGAAGAAACTTGACAACTGAGCAGTGTCTTATGAGAGTGTGAGTCTATGAGACATTTCATAAAACTAAAGAAAGATCATGTTTGTAAAAAAGCAGAAAATGAAACCAAACCAGTGACACACTAAGTGTGTATGTGATCAGAGTGTGTGAGACACTTAGGAGTTTGTCGTTGTGTGCATGTGCCTGTAAGCAAGCTGACTATGGGAGAAGAACGTGGTGTCCATAACTGATAGGGAGCATGGACAGAGGATTGTGTGAGATGTGGAATCTAGCAGCAACTGGGAATTAATGTCTGCATGCATCAGAGGTGGTCTAGGTGGCAAGGCTGAACGGATCAGTGAGCCAGTGTCTGAGAAATCGGTTGCGTGCCTATGTGTGAAACTGTAAAAGAATTTTTACAGCTATAAATCAAAGATTTGGGATAGTGAAAGCTGAGAAGAAATGTGGGAGCAGGTGAGGGCAGAGTTAGATATACTGCATGGTGCTGTGTGCATGTGAAAGCATTCATGGGAGGCTATAAAAGGCTATCAGGAACCACAGGGTAAACCACAGTGGCTTAAGTGAGTCGAGGAAGGGGATGCTGATTTTGTCTGCGTGAAAAACTTCGTGAGAGCCCAGTTAGTGATGAATATGAATGTAAATCAGTGACTGGATATGAAAAAATGGTAGGCTGAATGTTATTAGCTAATGTGACTGTGCATATGGGAGAAACTAATGAGGAAAAACATCGGTGATAATGAACGAGTTAAACCACGAGACATGAGTGTTTATGAACCTGTTAGGAGACTAGTGAGGCTGGGGATCAGTGGCAGAAAATGACTCCCTGCGTATGTGACATTGTCTGAGATTGTGTGATGATGGAACATATATGTATTTGAACTTGTTGACAAATAAGTGCAGTAGAGGCTGCAAATTCAGAACTCTATGTACAGGTAAAAAAAAAAAATTAAACATGAGAGAATGAGACCGGTGTATTAGAGGCCATGGATTGAATTGCCAGGCCTAAGACAAAAGCTCTCCTTTGTCTGCTGCCTCCATAGACCCCTCCCACTCAGCCCCCCGCCCCCCGGGAGGCACTTCCATTTTCTCCAAAACTTGAAATGCTGGGATTCCCCTGCACTTTGCTTGGAGCTCCTTTTCACCTGTACTCTCTCTAAGAGGTCTGACCGAAATCCAGCCCTTAAAATGTGAATTATTCCCCAAGATGATTTATCTTCAACTCAGACTGTTCTTTTAAGCACTTAGTAGAGCCTCAAGTTTTGTTCCTTCGCTTTGTTCATGCACTCAGCAGACATTTATTGAGCATCTACTGCTTGCTGGCACCCATCTACTGACCTACAGATGCAGCAGCTAACATACTAGACAAAACTCTGCCCTTTTGGAGCTGATGCTCAGGGAGACTGACAAGAAACACATAAATACATTGTATCAGGCAGTAATGTAATAATTAAATAAGACAAGCTTCTCTCACTTTTTGTTTAAAGGAGTCTGCAGAGTCATTTTAATGCCTAAATGTGTGTGGGAGAAAATGAAAGTGCAGACAGTCCTCATCCACAGGGAACCCTATGAGTATTTATGCAGTTAAGGAACAAAGGAAATATCGATTATAACATTATTACCAGGGCAACAGGTTATTAAATAAAACAACCAGGCAGAATTGCAGGTTTCTTGGGGAGTTTGTTTGCACAGGATAACAACACTGACAGCTGAAGTCTTAGAATCTTAACAAGACCCCTTTGTTCACGGCACACATTCAGAAACAGGCTTATATTATCTGAGACCAGAGTACATCTGTAATGGATACAAATATTAGCACACACCTTATCTTCCAAAAACGAGCAGTATTCTTTTTTTTTAAATCTATTTTTAGTTTTTTAAGACAGGGTGTAGCAATGTAGTTCAGCCTACTGGCCTCAAACTCGTACTGATACTGCAGCCTTAGCCTCCCAAGTACTGGGATTGTGGGTGTGCCAAGTAGCAGTACTCTTGAGAGATTTCTGCCCTAACCCCTGACGAGATTGTTTAATCTTGTTTTAATTTATAAAATTTTATTTTCTTTGTGAATGTGGAAGAAATGAGATATTGCCTTCCTGCCTTTCTCAGGCTGATTTTCGTTAATTAAAAAGATTCTTTTTTTTGGTAGTGTTGAGGAATAGACCTGGGCCTTGCACATATTAGGCAAGCAGTCTACCGTTGAGTTACAACCCCAGCCCACAAAACTCTTGTTTTTGGAACAGGCTCTGGAATTTCACTCATTAGGGCTATGAAGAAAAGAAAATAGCAGGACTGTGGAGCTCAGTTTCACCTGGAAGAAAATTGGGCTGAAGAGTAATCTTGGACAGTAAAACAGCATGTGGAGTTTTTTCTGTAGCTGAAACCCACAAAGTAAAATAAGAATCAGGGACTAAAATGGAAGTTCTAAAAGTATAGTACCCATACCAACATCAGTTGTCAACTGGGAACTTGTTAGAAATGCACATTCAGAATCCCAGGTGTGGGACCCAATAATCTGCAAATTTATTGAGCTTTCTGGGTGATTCTGATATGTAATATGGTTTAAGGACCACTGGGCTAGAGAGCGACAGGGATCTTACCAAAGCAGGGTAGCTGGGAAAGGCCTGTGAAGGAGGTGATGTTCATTGTCTCCTCTCTTAGAGTATAAGTCCCTAGGGGAACAGGATTTTTGTGTGGTCTGTTCTCTGTTCATCTAACCCTGAGAGCCACATCTGGCATATGATAGGTGTTCAATAAATGTTGAGCAAATCAATGTAACAGAGTCGCCAGACACTGTCCTAGCTACTTAGAAGTCTTCTGATCTTTGCACCAAGCCTGACCTATGTTGTTGGTGCCATCCATGTGTATTTACAGAGGAGGAAGCAGGCTGAGGGGTGAGAGGTACCTGCCCAACAGCCATCTGAGGTAACATGGCCAAACCGGTGCCCTCCTGTTCACCCCCACCCCAGGGTTAGAAAGTATCCTCAGCTGGGCCCCCAGGGGAGCGGATATCCCCAATTGTATCCTTTCCGAGTCCTTCCTCACACCAACCCACTTCCTCTTCTCACTTCCCTTGTGCTGACCCCATGCACACGCACATGCTGACCAACCTGCCCCAGGGTTAGAAAGTATCCTCAGCCCCCCAGGGGAGCGGATATCCCCAATTGTATCGTTTCAATCCCTCCTCACACCAACCCACTTCCTCTTCTCACTTCCCTTGTGCTGACCCCATGCACACATGCTGACCACAGGGAATCTTAATTTTTGTAAAGAGGAGGGCAGGGTTCAGTCAGGCTAGAGAATGAAGTATTTGCCATTGCATGCTTCCTCCACCTCGTCAGGAGGACCACACTCAGTTCATCCATGTTCAGCACCGCCATGGGCTTCACCATGCCATTGTGGTTGCGAGCATACATTCCTACACATGGGCAACCAAGGCTCAGAAAGGTCCATGTGACTTGGCCACAGTCGTTGTCCTCCAGATTCCCAGGCCCCATTGTCCCTCAGAATTTGTCCAAAGGACACTGAATACTGAAAGGTTGCATGGTGGAGCACAGTGTGAGGTACTGGTGATTGGGTGACAAAACAGTCCCAAGGGTAAAGGAGGAAATAGGGAGGAGGCAAAAGAGGAGGAGGTAGAGGAGCAGGGGAGTGGTCTGAGCTGAAGAGGCCTTCATAGTGCCCTCCCAGTTCCTCCTACAGTGCTCAGATTCCTCTTGCCAGCAGCAGATCAGCTTGGATCAAGCTGGGCCTCTGGTAGAGGTGCAGTGGTGTGCTCATCATGAATGCCTCAGTGCAGATCCTTCGATCACTGCTGCTGCTGCTGTTGCTGCTGCTCACTCTTCCAGCCACAGGTGAGTGGGGAACGGACTGGCTGTGGCCAGGGGTGTCCAGGCCTACCACACCCCTGACTGTCCACATCCCTTTCCCTGGTCCTATTACAGGCTCAGACTCCGTGCTCTGCTTTACCCAGTATGAGGAATCCTCAGGCAGGTGCAAGGGCCTCCTGGGGAAAGACATCCATGTGCAGGACTGCTGTCTCAATGCTGCCTACGCCTTCAAGAAGCATGACAGTGGGCACTGCCAGGCATGCAGGTTCGGGTTGCCTGGGCTGGGGGAAGGTGAAGAGGATTGTGACCCACAACTAGGTTCTTTCTTTCTCTAGGTCTTCCAGGGCTGAGCCCCCAAGGTCTTGATCACAACCATAGTTCAGGGTTTCTCAACTTTGACACTATTAATGTTAAGGAGTGGGAGATTCTTTCTCTGATGTCTGCATTATAGGATATTTTATAACATCCCTACCCTTCCAGTAGATGTTAGTATCAATCTCTCTATACACACTGGTTGAGACAACCAAAGATGACTCCAGACATTGCCCCATCTTCTAAAAGTGGTGAGGGGGCAAAGGCACCCCTGGCTGAAAATTATGGGCCAGGGAGATAGTTCAGCAGCTTAAGCGCCTGACTGGCAAGTACAAGGTCCTGAATTTGATCCCTGATTAAAAAAAAAGAAAGAAAATCATTCCCATAGTGCACTGAAGTATTTTACAGATGGGTTGCAGCTCAAATATTTCTGAAGGCAACTCTAACCACTGAGTTGAGATGACAACTATTAACTGCTTAGGGTATACAAACACGTAAATGAGGAGAACCCCAGAGCCCTAATCATGATGGCATTTACATTCTTTGAGCACTTTCCTTATATTAGATGAATTGCAGAAGCTAGGCAGCAGTTTCAGGATTTCTGAGGGGTAACTCTAGTCTCCTAATCTTGATTTCTGGCTTACATGTATCAACCCCTTACCGTATTACAAATATATTTCCTTTTCTTCTTTTTTTTTTTTTTTTTTTTTGAGGCCGGCCAAATAGCTCAGCAGATTAAAGCTCCTGCTTAGGCAGATGCAGAGACTGGGGAGTTCGATTCCCTGGCCTGCCGTGCTGTTTTTCTTTTGTAATGGGTACTGAAACCTGAGAGGACTGAACTATATCCGCAGCTTATTTTATTTTATTTATTTTTAAGACAGAGTCTAGGTTGCCCAGGCTGGCCTTGAACTTGGATTGTCTTGCCTAAGTCTCCTGAATATAGACATGTGCCACCATGCCCAGTTCCAATTACATTTTCTGCTTACAGATACACCATGAGCCTGGGGACCTTGGGGATTTTTTAGAGCAGCTGTAAGCCCCTACTTAGCATTGGTAGGGGTGCTTCTGAGGGGGCTCCATGCTTATTGGGAGGGTGGCTTCTGTTTATTAAGTACTTCCTGTCTACCTCCTATTGTGCAGGATGATGACCTATTGGGTTTCTGACAGCAATCCCAGTCTCTTCCTCCTTACATTTGCTTACTGTGTACCTGGATTTGTCCTCTGGGGAATTTCCAAGGGTTAACTCCAGGGCCCTGGTCACAAAGGGAAAGGACATTTGCCAAGCACTTACCCACCACTTCCCCTTCAATCCTCCATTGTCTCTAAGGGGTAGATAGTCATTAATGAGTGCTTCACATTTACATGACATCTTCTCATGTGCCTCCAACACTCTGGAGTCCCTCAAGCCATCCTATCAATTTGTACCAAGATGGGACATGTGCTCTTCTTCACAGGTCTCCACAATGGTCAACGTGGTCCCCATGGACCCCCTGCTCAGTGTCATGCACTGAGGGCTCCCAGCTGCGCCACCGCCGCTGCATAGGCTGGGGTGGGCAGTGCTCTGGGGAGAAGGCTCCTGGGACCCTTGAATGGCAGCTGCAGGCCTGTGAGGAGCAGAAATGCTGTCCTGGTGAGGATGCCTAGCAAGATAGACAAACACTTCCTGTGGCACCAGAAGCATCAGCACAGAGGCCCTGTGTGGGCCGTACTGGACGCTTTGAAAAAATGAGCTATCCTGGGTAGCTGGAGGAGAATGGTGGGAGGAAAAGAGGGCCACAGTAAGGACATGGGCTTCTGGCTGAGTGACTTGGATTGTGGTCAGGGGAGAAATGCAATCTTGTTTGGAAATAGAGTAGACTGTACCAGAGGGGCAAAGCAGAGGGACCAGTGTGAAGGCTGCTGCTCTAGTCTAAATGAGCAATGATGTGGGCAAGGTGTGGGAACAAAGGCTACAGTGACAAGGTTGCCTGGTGTGGAGCCTATGAGGAAATGATTGAGGACCCATGAATGGCCCTCCCACTTCCATACCATTCCCTTCTCTTCTCACCCACAGAGATGGGCGGCTGGTCTGACTGGGGACCCTGGGGGCCTTGCTTAGTCACTTGCTCCAAAGGAACCCGGATCCGTCAGCGAGTATGTAATAACCCTGCACCCAAGTGTGGGGGCCACTGTCCAGGAGTGGCCCAGGAGGCTGAGGCCTGTGACACCCAGCAGGTCTGCCCTAGTAAGTGAGGGCTGCCACAGGATACTGATGTGGGTACCCAGGATGGGTCTATGGGATTATAGCAGGAAACTGCCAGGGTGAAAAGACTTTAGCATGCCTAACCAACATGTGACCCCCACTTCCACCACAGCCCATGGTGCCTGGGGTGCCTGGGGCTCCTGGAGTGCCTGCTTGGGCTCCTGCTCTGATAAAACCCACAAACCTGTGGAGACACGAAGCCGCACATGTTCTGCACCTGAGCCCTCCAAGGACCCTCCTGGAAAGCCCTGTTCGGGACCAGCCAATGAGCAGCGACTCTGCAGTGGCCTACCACCCTGCCCAGGTACACAAGGATCAAGGTTGGTCTGCCTCAAAGGTCTTGGAGCTGAGGGAGGATTGAGTGGCCTTATTCCTTACTCCCTTTTCTCCCTCCAACAGTGGCTGGGGGCTGGGGGTCATGGGGCCCTGTCAGCCCTTGCTCTGTGACCTGTGGCCTGGGACAAACCTTGGAACAACGAATGTGCAATAACCCTGTGCCCAAGCATGGAGGCCCCTTCTGTGCTGGTGATAACACGCGTGCCCACATCTGCAACACAACTGTGCCTTGCCCTGGTCAGCACTTCTGGATGCTCAGTTTCCATGCCTTCTGCTTTAGCCCCTACCCATCTCTGCTGCCAGTTGCTGCTGTTGAACTCTTGTTCCTGCCTCTTACTCCTCCTCCTGGCTCTCATACCTTGGTCCTACCTCTGATGCCCTATTCCCACATCTGATCGCCCACCCCTACTCCCCTAGCCTTCATTCCTCCCCCGAGCCCCCTTATTGGCTCCCACTTTGATTTGCACCCTGGTGGCCCCTGTCCCAACAGTGGATGGAAAGTGGGAGAACTGGAGCGACTGGAGTTCCTGCACCCGCCCACACTTGAGCTCTATCCGCTGCAAGGAAATCCCAGGCCAGCAGACACGCGTAAGGAGCTGCAAGCACCGAAAGTTTAATGGACAACGGTGTGTTGGGCAACACCAGGAAATCCGACACTGCTACAACATCCAAAACTGTATCTGTGAGTGCCCCACAGTTGACACTGTGAGGGTGGGCAACCCCCCCGCCCCCGAACAACGTTCTGGGTCTTCCAGCTCTGCTGTGCACCCCATGTCCCTACAACCTTCCCTTCACTTTCTCACTGAGACCTCTAACTTTGACTATTCCCCCCCCCACAGTTGGAGAGAAAGGCTCATGGTCATCATGGACTGCCTGGGGGCTGTGCACACCCCCATGTGGGCCCAACCCCACCCGTGTCCGCCAGCGCCGCTGCATGTCCCCACTCCCCAAGTTCTTGTGAGTGAGGGATAGTGTGTCTTGGGAGGGAGCCATGATGCTGAAGGTGGGAGAGTAGGTTTCCTCCAACTAAGGCTTCCACTACTGGGTCTGTGGTCCTTGCCTTGCCAAGTGCTATCACTCAGCTACAAGAAGAAAGGAGAAGTTAAAAGAAAAGGATACTAGGGGAAAGTCACAGCCTCTCTGCCTCAGTCACATATTCAGCCACTCAGCCACTCTCCCATTCACTTAGTCTTTCCTATCTACTCCCTCCAACCTCTCAGTGACTTGTGCCTCCACTCATCCACTTGACATCTCACCATCTGAGGCACTCCAAATCCTTTTTGGCAACAGTTGCTAACATATAAAACCTAGATCCCTGTATCCTCTGAGAGATTCAGGTGATCAAAGGTATATGGAAAAGGGACACCATTGTACCTGGCTCCAGGAAGCTGATTGGGCCCTCCTTGGCAGGTAGGTTAAGAAAATCATTTCTGACATCAAAACTGTAAGCAGGGACCTGAACACATGTGATTGGCCATCTTATGAGTTTACTGGTCTCTAGAGTAGCCCAGCTTTTAGGGTTGCAATACACATCTCTTCTACATACATCCAGCTACTAGGTTAAGTGGCCTGTTCACAATTCATGGAAGGTCCATCATCTGGGACATGATCTCCCAACTGTGGAGCTCAAAGTGGGTCTTGAAGATGAGTTAGAGTCATTGAATGGCAGCACACGATATTTGAATGAGTGACAGACTGAATGGAGGAAGGACCAATTGAGAAAATCATGGTAGGAGTGAATGAAGGCTTTGTCTAATGGGAGAGATAACTCAGGCAAACACCTTTTTGAACAAGAGACTCAGTTTGGAGAAGTAGAGGGGGAGAAAGCAAGAGATTGCCTTGGGTCAGGGATTTGGGCCCAACAACAAAGGCTTGAATATCAAGACAAAATATTTGGGTTTTGGAGACAGAGGGACCTAGAGAGTGACATAAAAGTAAGCCAGGCATGGTGCATACCTGTAATCCCAGTACTAGGGAGGCAGAGACAGGAGGATCATTGCAAGTTTGAGCTGGACTATGTAGTGAGCTCAAGGCTATCCTGAACTATATGAGAACTTAATCTCTAAAAATAAAAGTCATTCATAAAATCTAAGGATGTAGTTCAATGGTAGAGCATCTGCCTAGTATGTGAGAGATTCTGGGTTTGAGCCCAGCACCATAACAAAAAAGGTAGCTCATGCCAGCAATTAACAATCACCATTTACTGGGCACTCACTATGTGCTGGACACCATACTGAGCACTTCATCTGAATTAATTCATTTGTCTTCAGCCCACTGGGGTAGGTATTGATATTATTCCTACTATTTCAATTTTATAAATGATGGAAACTGAGGCATAGTTCCTGACAAGATAAACGATAGTGTTGCACACAAATTAGTCACTAATTCTAAGTTCTTTGCCAGGCATGGTGGTGCAGACCTGTAATCCTAGCACTGAGGTAGATGCATAACAAGTTGGAGCCCAGCCTGGGCAACTTAGTAATTTAGTGGGACTTTGTCTTTAAAAAATAGGGCAGGGGAGGGCCGGCCAGATAGCTAAGTGGAATAAAATACCTGCTTAGGCAGGCACAGGGACAGGGATTCAATCCCCAGCGCCCCCTGGGCATGCTGAGATGGCAACTGAGACTGGGAGTGGTGGTGCAGGCCTGTAATCCCAGTGCTTAGGAGGCTGAAAACAGGAGAATCACTATGAGTCCTATCTGTGTAATGAGACCCTGTACTAAAAAAAAAGGGCAGAGGGCATAGCTCAATGCAAAGGCTCTAAAGTTTAATCATCAGTACCATACCCACCTCAAAAAACATTGTCAATACCTTCTATCCTTTCCTGAGCTTCTGTCCTCCACTTCCCCTCTAATGTCTCAGGCCCACGATTTCCATAGTTGAAGGCCAGGGTGAGAAGAACGTTACCTTCTGGGGGAATCCACTGGCACAGTGCGAGGAGCTGCAGGGGCAGAAGGTGCTGCTGGAGGAGAAACGGCCATGTCTGCACACACCTGCCTGCAAAGAACCTGAGGAAGAAAACCCCTAACACCTCTTCCTCTGCTCTGACCCTTCTATCTTCCAGTCCTCAATAAATCAGCCTCTTTGAGCTTGTGTAAATTTCCTTAAAGAAGGCAAAGCAACCTAGCCCTTTTCCCAGAAATGGGGTAATAGTATCTTCTAGAGGAAGATCTCAGCAGCCTGATGTAAGAAACAGTACTTTACTTGGAAGTCGTGAAAATGAGTTTTCAGCCCCAGGCTCCCTTCACTACTGCCTAAGGCGGTGCCCCCTCCCCTGCCCAGCACGTCCCTCTGCAGATCTCTGCTTGTGAGGTGACTTGATTGGCTACTTGCCCTAGCAGACACTTTTCGATTGGCCAGCATGCTGGTTACTTGCTGTCTCCCCGCCTCCCAAAGCTGTCCAGGTTCCCACCGGCTGGAGGCTCCCTGCGGGCCAATTCCATGTCAACTAACCCAGAACTGCAGAAAGACGTGGCTAGCATTGGCACCCTGCGGATTGAACACCTGCACCCACCCACTCGCAACCACCCAGCTCAAACACCACAATTACAGATGACAAATAGCTCCAGGAGGCGGAGGTGGGGGGCGGCTGATGAAGTGGCTGTGATATTCTCTGAGCTGGGACTGGGGTAGACAGTAGCTACAGTGTCAGCATCCACAGGGAGGATCCCCCAGGGCAAACCCAGATGTAAATTCCTTTTACATGTGTCCATTTCGTTGAACATAAGTCAGTGTTTGCTGTAGGTTAAAGTTAAGGCTAAGCAGCTGACATGAAGAGAGGCGGCCTGAGCCCTGGAACAGACTCCAAATAGGCATTCCTTTAGTTTGAACATTTATTTGACGCTTAACCCCTACTATATACTAACAGTAGTGCTGGACATCAAGGGACATAAGAGAAATCAGAGCAGCATGTTTCCCCAGTTGCAGTGAAGGGAACAAACCCAGACACTACTGCTCTTAGCATTTGCTCATTCATTTACCACTCATTGAATGCCAAGCCCCCTGTGATGAGACACATAGGAATGACAATTATGGTAATAGCTAACACTTAGAAAGTACTCACTATTCACCCAGTAGTGTCTTAAGGTTTTCAATAGCATGAACTCATTTAATCCACGATAAACCATGAGAGTCAGTATTACTCCCATTTTACAAAGGAAGAAACAAGCACAGGTAGTTATGGGGCTGAATGTTTTTGAAGCACCATTGTAGTGTGAGCTTAAATATCATTAGCAGAGTTCAGGACTTCTTCGTGTAGTGGGTGAAGGGAACCCTTCTGTGCATGAAGATTCAGGAGGTAGATTTGTGCTGCCTGGCATCTTGTCAACATACTCACTTGACTTCTCTTGGCCAATTTCCCGTTATGTAAAATGGGCCAGTTGATGCAATGAAGTGAAGTTACTGAGTACTTGGTCATCTTGGGAAGACTGAACCAAAGAGGGTTTGTGGTTGCTACTACAAGGTGTGAGAGGTATGTATTTACAATGAAGTGGTATGTGTTCAGCAATGTGTGTGTGTGTATGCACTTTGAGTTACATGTGTGTGTGAGATGCAGACCTGGACAGCTGTGCAAGAATTAACGGGGCCTGCGGGTTAGCTCAGTTGCTTAAGCACCTGCTTGGGCAAGCACAGTCAGGCACGGGTTTGATCCCCAGCTCCACATGCCTTACCAGACCCGCCCCCAAAGCAGCCTGAGCCAGCCCCCAACACACACACACACACACAAAGAATTAAGGATGTATTGACCAGGCGTGGGGCACATGCCTATAATCCCAGCATTTGGCAGGCTGAGGTAAAAGGACTGCTGTGAGTTTGAGGCCAGCCTGGGTTACACAGAAAGTTCAAGGCCAGCCTGTAATACACAGCTAGACCCTGTGTCAAAAAACCATAGAAAAATATTAAGGATATATTGAATGTGTGTGGAGTGTGTGTGAGGTTACGACTCTGTGCCATAATTGTGTGGTGTGCACACTCATTAAGGTGGTGTGATGGATGGATGTATCATAAAAGTGGGTACAATACTGAGTGTGAACATGTCAGGGGTGTGTAGTTGAATCGTTACACAGCAAAAAATTACTCTTGGAGCCCCTTCTGTATATCTACTTATGTTGAAGAAGATGGAGACAGTGCAGAAAGGCCTTGCCTCTGCCTTGAGGAATTGAGAGATTTCTGAGGGTCTCCTCCACCAAAAAAAATCTGGGAATTGAGCCAGCTGATAAAAAGGGAAGTGTGCTGGAGGCCACAAGTAGTAGTCTGGGAACCAGTACTCCAAGAAGATGTGCAGTCCAGAGACAGAGTCCTCAGTATCCTGAATTCAGGTCCAGAGGCACCAGAAAGATCTGTATACCTGCAGCTTCTCCCCTTCCCCTAGAGAGGTCATCATAGCCCTGGAAGTTTGCTTGCTTCTGTTAATAAGCAACAATTTTTTTAAAATTAGTAATGGAAGCACATATTTCAAAACACTGGAAAATACCCAGTTTGTGGAGCATTCCTCATTTGAAATGCCAGAGAGAGCATCCTGGAGGGAGGAGGAAGGACTAGCCAAAGCAAAGGCCAGGAAATGGGACCGAAGGTGGCTGGGATCCAGGAGGGAATAAGAACATGTTTGGGAAGTAGAGATGAATCTGGGAGTGGGAGTATGATCAGGGCAGCTCTAAAGAGGGAGGGAGAGGTATTCCTGATAGAGGTTACAGGACATTCAAAGGTACCTTTTCCTTAGAGGTGGGGTCAGGTCATCATCCTTTTATCATGCTTGAAACCAAAATTCTGAGAGATTGGGTCACTTTTTCAAGTGTACATTGGAGACTTGACATGAAGCCAAGCATTGGAGTACAGAAATCTACACTACTATTGCCTTGTTTAAACAGGCCAATGGTTTAACAAATGAATAAGTGGATGACTCATCTGAAAATCCTGCAGGCAGAGGAGACCCCAAATCAGCCTATTTGCGCATCCTCTGCCACCTCATCTAGTCCACTATTATTGTTCACTATGGCCAAGGCTTTATAAAATCTGTCCTCTACTGACTGCTCTGACTCTCTCTCCAATGCAATACCCCTCACTTTGCTCTAGCCACACTGGCACTGGCTGTACCATCTACCCGGAACATTATTTTTCAAAAAATGTATACATCATAAAGTGAACATAGCCCTTTGGGAATTAATTGGAGTTCTTGAATTCACTCATCTGTAAAAGTAAATTATCCATCCACAAAATAGTTGTGAGGACTGGATGCATCAATATATGTAAACAGTTAAATGTTGGGTACACAGCAAATAATTGTTTATGGATTTGTGCTTTTATTGTAGTTAGAATCTTAGAGGGTTGACAGGATGGCATCCACATTCCCACCTCTGCCTGGACTACCTCATTTGCTGAAGTGCAAAAATAATTTGGCATCATGCCTCTATCGGTGGAAGTTTCTTAGGTGAAAAATACAGCCACAGACACTGATGACACAAGGTTTTAGCTACGTCCAAAGCAGAAGGATGGGGACATTTCATTGAATGCATGGTGGTGGTAGTGGTTGCTGAGCAGACATCAGGGCTAGAGTTGCAGGAATGTGTCTGTGCTGCATATCTAGGTTTCTCCGTGATCCTCAGTGGGTATGTGTTGTGTCCAGAGGGTGTGTGCTTGTATGAGTTTCTCTGACTCTGTGTTAGTATATTGCTTGTGTGTGTATGTGTAGCATATTTTGCACGCATGTATTCAATATGCTCATGTGGTTTAGTTACCCTGAGCTTATATGTCTGTATATATACTAGACAAGTGTGTCCTCCTCAGTGTATTTCCTTTTATGTATGTCACTCTCTGTGTGCCTTCAGGACCCCTGCCACCCAAGGCAAGGATGTGTGCATCACACCATGTCCACCTCCGCTTGTCTGAAGTTGTCTAGCTGCCACCACATGCATCTTTCTGCATAGTTGAGACGGGGTATGGGAGATTTATCTCCCTGAGAGACACTGCATGTGACCCCATGCCTTTCTGTGAGGTTATTTCTCTACTGTCATGTCTCGAGTGTGCCCCCCTCACCTCCAAACTGCCTTCTGCCATGAACGTCAACACTGTAAACAGTATATGGAAAGGGTCTTGTGTGTGAGTGTGAGTGGATGTGAGATCCAGAATGAGGCGGATGGGGGAGGCCTGCTTGACTACGCACCAGACCCTTCGAACAAGCACCCCACCCCCACTCCCCAAATTGCGCATCTCCTATCAAAGGGGGGAGGGGAAGCAGGATGCGGCGTGGCGCGTGCGCACTGCCAGATTCAGCACCGCGGACAGCGCCTTCGCCCCCGCCAGCCAGCGCGCGCCACCACCACCCCAGCACTGAACGCATGCTGACGTCACTCGTCGTTCCTCCACAAACCCCCCTTGCCAGCTGCTTTGGTCTCGTCCCCACTGCCGTGAGCCCAGCTGGACTGCACCATGCGAGGCGCGAGTTAGGGGGACACGGGCGCGACCATCCGCGCTGCGGCGGCGGCGACTCAGCGCCGCCTCAGTCTGCGGCGGGCAGCAGAGGAATCGCGTCGTGCCTGAGAGCGCAGCTGTGCTCCTGGGCCCCGCGCGGTCCGCCCCCGCGGCTCCTGGCCAGACTGCTTCTAGGACCCCCCTGCCCAAGCCGCAACCATGAACTACCTGCGGCGCCGCCTGTCGGATAGCAACTTCATGGCCAATCTGCCGAATGGGTACATGACAGACCTGCAGCGCCCGCAGCCGCCCCCGCCGCCACCCTCTGCTGCTAGCCCCGGAGCCACACCCGGTTCCGCGACTGCCACTGCCGACAGGGCTTCAACCGCCGCCCCTATGGCCTCTCCGGCAGCTCCCAGTCCCGGGTCCTCAGGGGGTGGTGGCTTCTTCTCGTCGCTGTCCAACGCGGTCAAGCAGACCACTGCAGCCGCTGCAGCCACCTTCAGCGAGCAGGTGGGCGGCGGCTCTGGGGGTGCAGGCCGCGGGGGCGCCGCCGCCAGGGTGCTGCTGGTCATCGACGAGCCGCACACCGACTGGTAAGCCACTGCTGCGCCTCCCCGTGGGCCTGGGTCCTCAGATACTTCCACGGTGAACGAGCAATTATAGAGTGCTGCTTGTATT